GCCTCCTCTGGGCATGACGGTTCGTATTTCCTGTTGGGAAAGAGAAAGAACAAAAAATGCAATGTTTCTGATTGTGTCATCGGCGGACGGAAAATGTTCTCCTTAAAAATAGCAACGATAACGATAACCATAAGAAGGATAGGGAGGGATAAGAGACCATCAGTGTGGACACCCACCTCTTGACGAAGCGGCTGGTGTTGTCGGAAGAAAGTTATCATGTCCTGCCACGTCTCCGCGTCTGGGAAGGCGTCAAGCCTGAGTCCCGCGACCGACCCGTCTTGCAAGCCCCAGGGATTTGCCTCTTCTTCCTCTTGCGCCGTCACTGGTTCGCCTGTCGCTTCTGCACCTGCTGAAATGAAACAGGGAGTTCTCGCCGTTAATGATTTGGAAGTGAGTGAGCGTATCATTTATATTGCCCAGGTTCACATAAAAATATGATCAAATGCGCATTACAAAAATGAAGAGTTAAGATTAATGTAATATATAAAAATTAAACAATATGAATGCCAAACAACTTAAAATATAAGATAAAACGCTAAACAGAATTCTAAGACACAAGTCGGTTCAAAAGGGCTTAAGAAATAAAAACAAACATGTCACACTACGTTCAGGTAATTAAGTGGCAAGCTATTTTAATAATAATGTATGTCCAGCATTGAAGGCTGTCGCAAACATTTGCTAGCCCAGCTGTGTCGCAACTTTAGCCGAAAAAATGATGTCGTGCCTTTGTTCCTTTACCAGTATGAAATTTTGCTCAATTTTGTTATTCTTGGGGTATTGATTCCATGTTTGTTATTCTTGTTGCAAGGAAATCTCTTGTTTCAGACTTCGCAACATATTTGCTAGCACTTTCCTAATATAAGAAGAATGACATAAGCAATCTATCAATGCTTTTCAAGTTTGCTTCTTAGCTACCAAATGTTTGCGACTGTCTCAGCGTGTGCGCACAACTCCACAAACTGAAAACGGTCACTCCTGAGACGTAGAACACGAAGCTGGTATCATGTGCTGATACCAGCATGTATTGGTATCGTAATAACGGATCATTGTTTTTATAGATTTGTATGCATTCCGTTAGTTTTAATTTTTCCCTTTTTTACTCATTGTAAATATAATAGGATATGGTTGTATATTTGTAGATATTTTTCAATAATGTTGTTTACATGACTGTAAAGCGCCTTGAACATAGGATAAGAGTGCTATAGAAATATTATTATTATTATTATTATTATTATTATTATTATTATTATTATTATTATTATTATGTGCGAGTGATACTCGAGTTTGGTTTTATTTTTCAGCGTTCTTTACCTGGTCCTCTGCCCTCCGTCGCTTCTCCCACACGGGACGCCTTGGCTCTGCTCCCGCCTACAGAGGAAGTCTTTCTCTTCTTCCTTGCTGCGCGTGCGCCACCCACTGTCGTCGAGGTGTTCTCTCCGTCAGTCTCTCCATGGTGGTCCTCCTCTGAGTCGCTGCTTTCCGAGCCGGGCCGGCTGCTCAGCCGTGCGAGGAGAGCACAGAGCATTGTCCGCTCGCTGTCCCCTGGTGGCTGTTGGGAGGTTCCAGCCTCCGAAGAAGACTCCGCGCTGGACTTGCCTATCTCCTACATAACACTCTCCGGACAGGATATGAGGGGTTCGTTGGATTCCTCGCCGCTACCGCTGGAGTCGTCGCCCTGTCTCTAACCCCGCATGAGGCTGGCGTGAAGCGTGTCCAAGGTGTCTGCCGATAATGCCTCAAAGGTGGCGAAGTTTACGCCAAACTCTCCCATGGCGGAAGCCAGGTACTGCGGGCAGAATGACCCACTCTGGTAACTGATGGCCGCGTAGCGGAGGTTAAGGAGCCGTGCTCTGCTCAGACCTGAGCCGGCGGTCGTTGCTTGACTGACCAAGCAGGCCACGTCGCACACCGCCAGTCGCCTCAGCGTCAAATTGCTGGCCTTCGCCGACACGGTTATGTTCCCCGGTAAGAAACCCCCATGTTCTTGCACTATCAGCCGCTTGGGAAAGCCGTGCGTGAATTCAGGGCTTGCGAGGCTCCAGGCCGGAGCGTCCCAGATCATGATATTTCCAAACCTAGGAGAGCAAGAGAGTAGGGTCAGTCCATAAAGGCTTGTCTATAGGTTTCCTGCTTTGCGCCCCCAAACCAGTCGTTCCAAAACAGACAGGGCTTCGTAAGTGTGCCGTTCAAGATTTTGTTGTTAAAATTATTAGTTGATTGGGTACCGTGTGGCGGTTTTTTTTCCAGCGGTCCGCGACTGAATAAGTTCCCGCAAATAAAAGTTACCGCAAACACGTAAAATCTACTCCAGGGTGAATACTCTCTATAACTTAAATTCGCTACACAGAAGTTAAGTACTAACCAATCGTGTCTGTTCAATTACAACTTGCCCCCTTCATTCGGAAACGAAACGGTGTACATAGGATTGTAGGATTACTAAACGAAAATGTTATCAATGCTGTGTACTTTCTAGAAAATCGCCAATAAATAGGAAACAAAAGGAACAAAATATCGCCAGTTCGCGCGAATAAACCCCCCCCCCCCCAAAAAAAAAAAGAAAATAGCTTTTTACGAGTGTCTCTAAGCAACGTACCTGTCCATGCGAACGCGGTTTAAATTGGCATCAAACGGCGCTTGTCCGCTGGTTAGAGCCTCGGTCAAACGTGCGCTGTGACGGCGAAAGAGTTCCCACTTGTTCACCTTTGGGTGGGTGTGTCTGCGACTTGCCCGTTCAGTTGGATCAGCGGCAGGACGCGTATCTTTCCACCCTCTTTCCAGTCTCTCGGTGCAGTAGCTGATAGCGCTGGCAGCGTTGTCGAACAAAACTGCGTTGGACACCTCCTCCTGTGAATCTCGAGGCACTATGTGCCTTGGCAACGACAGGCTGTCTAGCAGAAACAAGTCAAAGTTGAAGGCTAGAGGCCGGTCGGCGGATTCTGCGAATGCCAAGGGGAAATATGGCTCCACACTCTCGACGTCCCTTTGGAGGGAAGCCGCGTCCTGTTGTCGATAAAAGGACTGACTACTTTCCTCGACCACATCCTGGTCCGCCACGAAGAAGGCCCTGTCCTGTGAGGACTCAACGTCACCATCTTCATCTTCTTCATCGTCGTGGTCAGCGCTGTAAGTGCAGAGGGACAGCAGATCATTTAGAATGGCGTTGACGGCAAACGCCAAACGTCGTATAAACACGTACATAGAAACTTACCAACATTCCCGTACGGGCTATTCTACGTCAATGCACATGTCACCGAAAAGAAGGAAAAATTGGCGAAATAGCTGATGACAACTTGAAAAACTTTCTTTCACAAATACTCCTCAAGTGATCTCTTAAAAAAGTTTTTAAAGTCATGTTGTTGTTGTCGTTGTTTTTAATTCTTGATTCCTCCCTTCCCTCGCGGCAATCTGTAGCGCGATTTCGCGGGAAAATATTACTGTGAAGTATTTTCCTCATTCCTCAGCACAGCCGCATACGAGGGTTATGCATGTTAAGAAAGATGCTTGACCTACCTTCGGCCGTCTCGTGTCCCTTCTGCTCTCGCCTCCTGGTCAAAAAACTGTCTGAAAAAAACAGAAATCCATTAATACACAGCAAATAGATACAGTCGTTTAACCCCGTTGTCAAAAAGACACCTTCAATTGCAATAGACTACTAAAGAAATTTATGAGGACATGAGAAGCGACAAATCTCTAGTAGCCTCCCCTTTTTTTAATTAATTTATATTATTTGCGTCACTGATCTACATTACTTACATACTATACAGTAATTACTTAACAGTCCAGATATATAATACAGAGTAGCCAAAGCTACTTGAGTAGTTTTTGCATACTCACGCGCACACATACACACGCAAACACACGCGCTACGCACGATTACTGATTATCCGCCTAGAAACATCCTGAAAGAGCCTTTATAGGGAGTTAGCGCGATTGCTGTTCTCCGTACATCTCGACAAAGCGATCATTTTGAAGTTTTTCTTTAAGTCCCAGTTAAAAGTGCATGATGGAAAAGCGGGTTTGTAGTGTCGTTCACGAGGCCTATGCAAGACAAAAAGGAGAATTCTTCCTTACGAAAGCAAGAGCTTTTTGTCATCCAATTACTAATTTCATTCCAAAAGGATTTAACGAACGGGCACTCCCAAAAGAGGTGCAAAAGAGTTTCCGAGCTTTCTTTACAGAAACTGCATTGATCATCAGATTTGATTCCAATTTTAAAAAGGAAATAGTTTGCTGCCAATTTTCTATGCAGAAGTTGAAATTGAAATACACGAAATTTAGATTCGTTGGTACATAGGAAAGCAAGGGTATATGACTTAACCAAACCCAATCAATCATGTAAATAAACTCCCGCCAACAAAAGGCAACAAAAAAACCGATCAATTTCGAAAATGGTCTCAAATCCGCAATAACGATCACGGGGTTGGGCAATACTAAGTGAAGTAAACGAAAATTGTTAACCATTTACCTTGCTTCGGTGCGACTGCTTTTTTGAGTCCTCGGCCGGCGGGAACAAGAAGGCCTACACAGAATAAAAGACATGACATTGTTAACGTAGCCACGTCAAAAATGTAGTTGAAATTATGGTGGTGAAATTACGGTTTCATTGAATCAACTAGTTAATTTGTAGTCCTCATCAGTCCCGATTTCGTTTTAAGCGGTTTTTCTCTGGGTTGCTAGTAACAGTTTCATGCTTGCCACGAAGCAAAAATCTGTACCTTTCTTGGCTGTCCGCCGTATCACTGCCAGCCTTGCTCGGCGCTGGCGGATCTTGTGAAGATCTGCAACAAAACAATCAGACATCCAACTTAAAAAAGCACGATAAGTGAGCAATCTGTTGGTTATTCTTTCGCCTCAAAAAAAGGAATTAAAGCGGGAAGAAGTAAACAGAACGATAAGTAGAATTTCTCACATATTTCTCCAAACCCAACGTAAAAACCGAAAACAAACTCAATTGAAAAATGGCTTCCTACCTGGATGATTCCTGCGTCGCTCGTCCACCATCAAGCTGTTCTGCTTGATCCGATCTCTTCGCTAGGAAAAACTCTGCGATGCTCGTGGCTCTCTTCTGCATTGTCGAGTCTAGTCGATTGAATAAGTATTTCGCAAGGGGACACATATATATTAGGGTACATTACGTCAATTTCTCCAAATAGACTCGTTGCCTTTTACATGACCATAACGTTATCCGTGTTTTCCCCGTGGAGCTATTTTTATTTTCCAGCCGAGGGAATCTGGGTTTTTGCCCTGACGGGGCAAAAACCCAGGCTTCGCGCGGCGGCGTAATGGCTGACGCAATGTGGTGTGCCAGCTAGCTCGAGGGGTTTAACATCGCAACTGACGGTTTCCTTTATCAATGAACCCAAACAGGAGCCCCCTTCGTTCAAGTTTGCGGCTGTGGCCAACGACGCCTCTGGAAGAATTTTCACATGGCAGGAAATAGCGCAAATCTAGCGGCTAGCTGAAAAGATGGATGCGAAAAGTGTACACTACCTGTTTTGTCAGTGATCATTTGCTGATTCTGTTCGGTGATGGTTGATGAGAAGGTTCATTCTGGCGAACCTTTCTTTCAATAAAGAACTAATGATATTTTGTGCAAAGAAGCGGTCTTTCTTTGAATAAGGAACCAGTGATATTTTGAGGGGGAAATTAGCGGTAAAATACCCGACGACAAAAGCTTGGACAGCTAGAAAAACGATCTTGCTGCAGTGTCCACATACAAATTCTCCCCGGTTGATCTTCATACAGTTTCATATCGAATTAGTTGAGAGAAGTAAACAGATCAAAGCACTTTCCATTAGGGGCCAGTTCCCTTTTTCTGTAAGTAGGGTGGAACAGGGGGAAGGGGAGGGGCAGGGGGGAAGGGGAGTGGGGTGTGGTGGTAGGGGTTGTTGTTTGTTGGGGGAGGAGGGAAATTTGCCTTTGACAAAACAACAGCATAAATACTTTTCTCTGGAACCGAGGCTGTTTTTCTTTGAATTGGCATGAATAGGTTGGAAATTTGAAAATACGGTTGAAAGACTTGAAATGTTAAAACTTAAGTGAGGAAAGTAGAAAAATTCATTCTTATATTCATGACTAAGAGACTGAGAGCTTGAATGTTAGATTGCCGTCCGAATAACACACCAAGTTTTTACCTGATGAAGCTGATCAAATGAAATTGCTGAATACATTTAAAAGGGCATATCAATTTCAGTTCACTCTGAAAATATGAGCCCAATATACCAAATAGTTGCTTATTAACAAAAAGTTGAAAGTTCCAGAACTGAGATGAAGACATTACCACTGTCAAAGCCTTATTGCTTAACAATTTACACCAAACAAGATTTTCACGTAGGTTTTTTGTTGTTTCTGCTATTTTTCCCTTAATAGATTTATTGTTTTGCGAAAACGATTATCCTGTGTACTGACTCCATTAAATAAGGGAAAGCAGAGATTCACAATGACTTATTTCTCTGACCTACAAAAAAAAATTTGACCCACCCCCTGTCATTTCATATTTCAGTAGTTACCCACCCCAATCATAAGAGAAACAAACTTGACACCACCCCCCCTTTCATGAATAATGACCGTGAAATAGCTATTGTTTTGAAAGCTGTCACCACTTTGACTAGAGTGAACACTAGAAGTTATCAACATGATCGTGGTCAGCCCTCATGGAGTATTCCTTTCCCCTGAAAAGAGGATGTCAGTGCCCCCAAGGAGTACTCCCCTTGATTTCAAAGGTGACCAAAAAAAGCTTCGGATTCAACATGAAAATTTTTGTGTTTGCGCCCTTCGAAACTGTCTAAAACATGGCTTGTCGACATCCTGGATCTATTCTTCAACAATTTCAATGTAATTCAAGGTGTTTTCTGCTTTTCGTGGAAGCGCAGAAGCCAAAATTTCTACCTGGTTTAGTAAGCCCAATCAAAGTTTGATTTCAAAGGTGACCAAAAAAAGGTTCGGATTCAACATGAAAATTTTTGTGTTTGCGCCCTTCGAAACTGTCTAAAACATGGCTTGTCGACATCCTGGATCTATTCTTCAACTATTTCAATGTAATTCAAGGTGTTTTCTGCTTTTCCTGGAAGCGCAGAAGCCAAAATTTCTACCTGGTTTAGTAAGCCCAATCAAAGTTTGAATTCAAAGGTGACCAAAAAAAGGTTCCGATTCAACATGAAAATTTTTGTGTTTGCGCCCTTCGAAACTGTCTAAAACATGGCTTGTCGACATCCTGGATCTATTCTTCAACTATTTCAATGTAATTCAAGGTGTTTTCTGCTTTTCCTGGAAGCGCAGAAGCCAAAATTTCTACCTGGTTTAGTAAGCCCAATCAAAGTTTGATTTCAAAGGTGACCAAAAAAAGGTTCGGATTCAACATGAAAATTTTTGTGTTTGCGCCCTTCGAAACTGTCTAAAACATGGCTTGTCGACATCCTGGATCTATTCTTCAACTATTTCAATGTAATTCAAGGTGTTTTCTGCTTTTCCTGGAAGCGCAGAAGCCAAAATTTCTACCTGGTTTAGTAAGCCCAATCAAAGTTTGATTTCAAAGGTGACCAAAAAAAGGTTCGGATTCAACATGAAAATTTTTGTGTTTCCGCTCCTGAAAACTGTCCAAAACAGGCATGAGCGGAATTCTGGACGTATTTTGCGACTATTGAACTGCAATGACAGGTGTTTTTTCATATGGCGGGAGGCGCCCAAGCCAAAATGTCTACCTGGTTTAGTGAGCCCAATCAAAGTTTGATTTCAAAGGTGACCAAAAAAAGGGTCGGATTCAACCTGAAAATTTTTGTGTTTGCGCTCCTGAAAACTGTCCAAAACAGGCATGAGCGGAATTCTGGACGTATTTTGCGACTATTGAACTGCAATGACAGGTGTTTTTTCCTATGGCGGGAGGCACCCAAGCCAAAATGTCTACCTGGTTAAGTGAGCCCAATCAAAGTTTGATTTCAAAGGTGACCAAAAAAAGGGTCGGATTCAACCTGAAAATTTTTGTGTTTGCGCTCCTGAAAACTGTCCAAAACAGGCATGAGCGGAATTCTGGACGTATTTTGCGACTATTGAACTGCAATGAAAGGTGTTTTTTCATCTGGCGGGAGGCGCCCAAGCCAAAATGTCTACCTGGTTTAGTGAGCCCAATCAAAGTTTGATTTCAAAGGTGACCAAAAAAAGGGTCGGATTCAACCTGAAAATTTTTGTGTTTCCGCTCCTGAAAACTGTCCAAAACAGGCATGAGCGGAATCCTGGACGTATTTTGCGACTATTGAACTGCAATGACACGTGTTTTCTCATATGGCGGGAGGCGCCCAAGCCAAAATGTCTACCTGGTTTAGTGAGCCCAATCAAAGTTTGATTTCAAAGGTGACCAAAAAAAGGGTCGGATTCAACCTGAAAAGTTTTGTGTTTGCGCTCCTGAAAACTGTCCAAAACAGGCATGAGCGGAATTCTGGACGTATTTTGCGACTACTGAACTGCAATGACAGGTGTTTTTTCATATGGCGGGAGGCGCCCAAGCCAAAATGTCTACCTGGTTTAGTAAGCCCAAACAAAGTTTGATTTCAAAGGTGACCAAAAAAAGGGTCGGATTCAACCTGAAAATTTTTGTGTTTGCGCTCCTGAAAACTGTCCAAAACAGGCATGAGCGGAATTCTGGACGTATTTTGCGACTATTGAACTGCAATGACAGGTGTTTTTTCATATGGCGGGAGGCGCCCAAGCCAAAATGTCTACCTGGTTTAGTAAGCCCAAACAAAGTTTGATTTCAAAGGTGACCAAAAAAAGGGTCGGATTCAACCTGAAAATTTTTGTGTTTGCGCTCTTGAAAACTGTCCAAAACAGGCATGAGCGGAATTCTGGACGTATTTTGCGACTATTGAACTGCAATGACAGGTGTTTTTTCATATGGCGGGAGGCGCCCAAGCCAAAATGTCTACCTGGTTTAGTGAGCCCAATCAAAGTTTGATTTCAAAGGTGACCAAAAAAAGGGTCGGATTCAACCTGAAAATTTTTGTGTTTGCGCTCCTGAAAACTCTCCAAAACAGGCATGAGCGGAATTCTGGACGTATTTTGCGACTATTGAACTGCAATGAGAGGTGTTTTTTCATATGGCGGGAGGCGCCCAAGCCAAAATGTCTACCTGGTTTAGTGAGCCCAATCAAAGTTTGATTTCAAAGGTGACCAAAAAAGGGTCGGATTCAACCTGAAAATTTTTGTGTTTGCGCTCCTGAAAACTGTCCAAAACAGGCATGAGCGGAATTCTGGACGTATTTTGCGACTATTGAACTGCAATGACAGGTGTTTTTTCATATGGCGGGAGGCGCCCAAGCCAAAATGTCTACCTGGTTTAGTGAGCCCAATCAAAGTTTGATTTCAAAGGTGACCAAAAAAAGGGTCGGATTCAACCTGAAAATTTTTGTGTTTGCGCTCCTGAAAACTGTCCAAAACAGGCATGAGCGGAATTCTGGACGTATTTTGCGACTATTGAACTGCAATGACAGGTGTTTTTTCATATGGCGGGCGGCGCCCAAGCCAAAATGTCTACCTGGTTTAGTGAGCCCAATCAAAGTTTGATTTCAAAGGTGACCAAAAAAAATATCTACCTGGTCGGATTCAACCTGAAAATTTTTGTGTTTGCGCTCCTGAAAACTGTCCAAAACAGGCATGAGCGGAATTCTGGACGTATTTTGCGACTATTGAACTGCAATGACAGGTGTTTTTTCATATGGCGGGAGGCGCCCAAGCCAAAATGTCTACCTGGTTTAGTGAGCCCAATCAAAGTTTGATTTCAAAGGTGACCAAAAAAAGGTCGGATTCAACCTGAAAATTTTTGTGTTTGCGCTCCTGAAAACTGTCCAAAACAGGAATGAGCGGAATTCTGGACGTATTTTGCGACTATTGAACTGCAATGACAGGTGTTTTTCATATGGCGGGAGGCGCCCAAGCCAAAATGTCTACCTGGTTTAGTGAGCCCAATCAAAGTTTGATTTCAAAGGTGACCAAAAAAGGGTCGGATTCAACCTGAAAATTTTTGTGTTTGCGCTCCTGAAAACTGTCCAAAACAGGCATGAGCGGAATCCTGGACGTATT